TCCTAGCAACCCCATCCCAGCTGTAGCAGCCTCACAACACAGTGACGAGAGTGATGTCATGAATGCATGCAAAGTCTCTTCTCGATGTACTCTTGTTTCAACACTTTTTTTCTCCTCTCATCCTGTTTTTTTTTCTGTCACTTTGATGCATCTCTTCTCATTTTGGGCTCACTTTCTTTCTCATTTTAATGCTTATTAATCATTAATCTTGATGCTTCACTTCTCATTTGGTCCCATCTGGTCTCATCCCTTATTGCTTCTCTTCTGTAATCATTATTTCGTCTCATCTTTTTCTTTTGACCCATCTCTTCTCTTCTCTTCTCTTCTCTTCTCTTCTCTTCTCTTCTCTTCTCTTCTCTTCTCTTCTCTTCTCTTCTCTTCTCTTCTCTTCTCTTCTCTTCTCTTCTCTTCTCTTCCCATCTCTTCTCTTCTCTTCTCTTCTCTTCTCTTCTCTTCTCTTCTCTTCTCTTCTCTTCTCTTCTCTTCGTTCGTCTCATCTTGATGTTTCCCTCTCAATTGGCCTCATCTTGAGCTACTTTGTACAAATTTTGTGTTATGTCTTTCCCTGGTCTTGACTCATCATATCTATTGTCATCTCATCAGGTCTCATTTCTACTCAATGCTCTTTTCTTGTTTTGACACTTTTCTTCTTTCATCATCCTTCTTTTTTTGTCGCACTTTGACACATTCTCATTTTGTTCTAACCTTAAAGCTTCCCTTCTGTTCTCATTGTGTATTATTTTCTCTGTTCTTTTACTATTGACTCATTATCTGGTGTTAATGCTTCTCATCTCATCTCATCTCATCTCTGTTTTCTGGTCCATCTTGACGTTTCCCGCTTGTTTGGCCTCATCTTGTGTTTTTTCCCTGGTCTCATCTTTTCTCATTTTATCTCACTTTAATGCTTGTCTTCTTTTCTCATTTAGTCTTTGTCTCATCTTTTTCTATTGACTCATAGCATCTCTCAATGCTTATCTGCTCATCTCATCTGTGTTTCGCTTGTCTCATCTTGACGTTTCCATTCTCGTTTGACCTCATCTCGTTATTTTGTCTAATCACTTTCCCTGGTCTTGTCTCATCATGTGTGTTCTTATCTCGTCTCATCAGCTCTCATCTCTACTCTTATCTCGTTTTGACACTTCTCTTCTCATTTTTGTGTTATTTTGTCTCAATCAGTCTTATTTTGTCTCAACACTTCTATTAATACTTCATCTCATCTCTGTCTCTCTTCTCATTTGGTCTTATCTTTTGTCTTGTCTCATATTGATGTTTCTCTTCTCATTTGGTCTCATCTTGTTGCGTCCTTTTTCTCTTATTGTTGACTTTAGTCTCACTTTAATTATTTTCTTCTATTCTCATCTTGTGTTAATGCTTCTCTTCTCATCTCTATTTCTTCTATTCTATTCTTGCTTGTCTCATTTTGTGTTATTTTGCCTAATCCCTTTCTTTAGTCTTACCGTATCTCATCTTGGCTATTCTTGTCTTGTCTCACCTCATATCATCAGGTCTCATTTATCAAGTTATTTTGTGTATTTTTCTTTTGTCTCATCTCGACACTGCTCTTTGCATCTCTTCCTCTTGTCTCTTCTTTTGTCCTTTCTTTTCCTCTCCTAGAGAACCTCTCCTAAAACTAGAGAAATGTTCTGCACACCTGTGTTTGTATGTAAGTATGTGTGTGTGTGTGTGAGTGTGTGTGTGTGTGAATGTAAGCCACAGGGAGCTGAAATGTGTTAGTACAAGCATCTGTGAGTCCTCCTCTCCTGGTGCTGAATTCGGGCTTTCAGGGGCTATGATGCCATTCTGGGACAGTTATCCATCCCCAAAGAGAATGAAGCAAAAAGGAATCTTTCAGGCCTCCAGTAAAAGATGAGGAAATAAAAATAAAATTTTCTTTCTCTCCCCTGTGCATTCTCTCCATTCCCAAGGAGATTGGGCAGCTCTCAGCAGACTAGCAGCCATGTCTGTGTTGGGGAAAATGCTGCAGTGGCACATTTATCTATTTGTGGGGACACACTAATATACGAACACGCACACAAATGTGAACACGTCCATAAACACACTGTCAGAGAGCTTAAGCAGGGTCAGTTTCCGGCAGTTAAGACCTCCATCCACTGAATACTGCTGACAGTACAGCTAGAATTACCTTTAGAAAAGTAAATACACATTTACTGAATGAATCCTCCCCCTGGAATGAATCCTGTTCAGACCAAAATAAAAATTCAACCTCAAACAATATACAGCTGTTGTATGACTCACTACTATTTGATAAGTGTTTGGACACTAAGTACTAATTAAAAATACATACATTTCATTGCATTACATAACAAAACAAAACATCAGTGGCATATGCAAACAAATGATGCTAGAGCTTTTGCCAGTACTAGCTCCACTTTCACTTTCTGGGCCATTTTTGAAATTACTTTCAATTTAATTCATCCACAGATGCAGTTCATCACATTAGTAGTATCATCACAAAACCAAAAAGTTTGTTTGTTTATTTATTTTATTTTTAATCTTTAAAATAAATAGCACTTAAATTGATATTCTGTTATATAGAATAACAGACTACCATCCAAAATTTTGGGGCCAGGAAGGTTTTTTGTATTTTAGCAAGAATACATTAAATTGATCAAAAGCGACAGCAAATATGTTTATAATGTCACACAAGATTTTAATTTTAAAAAATGCTGTTCTTTTGAAGTTCTTATTCACCAAAAAATCCTGTAAATTTATCAAAAATATGAATCATGATTTTCACAAAAAATATTAGGCAGCACAACAAGATTTTCAAGATTGATAATAAGAAGAAATGCTTCCTGGGCAGCAAATTAGCATATTAAAATGATCACATGTTCAGAAATATCATGTGACACTGAAGACTGGAGTAATGACTGCTGAAAAAAAAAAAAATCAACGTCGTCATCATGGTAATAAATTAAATTTTTAAATATACTACAATATAGTTTCAAATAATAATAATAATACACAATATAATTGTCTTTCTGTATTTTTGTAAATCAATTAAATGCAGTCTCGGTGAGCATAAGAGACTTCTTTCAAAAAACAAAAACGTACAGACCCCAAACTTTTAAATGGCACTTTCAATGATCACTTCAGTGTCCACACACTGTGGATATCTGTGTGGTTTTATCTGTGAGCTGGGTTTCAGACTGCATAAAAGAGCGTGGAGCACTGAAGGACATGGGAAAGGGTAGTTGAATACATGTACAGCGGCGCAGGCAGGAAGAACAAGGGCGCTTATGCTGACTCCTGCACTTGCTGACTGCCCCATCTGTTGAGCGGGGTCCCCAGAGAGAAGAGGGGCAGCGAGGGTCCATGTGACACATCTGCCCCTTGCTTAGGGCTTTTAAATAAAGACACAGAGGGGACTGAGGCATCCTGCCAGAGCAAAACTCCCCAGCCCAGGTGTGCTTCTAATAGAGGCCACAGAAAGACAACCTCTACCTCTGTGTCCGCTTTTGTTTGTCTATGTGGCTTTGTGGCTCTATTCTTGTCGCACTTTCTCTCTGATGTTCATTGAGAGTGTACCTTTTTCTCATTTTCTCTTGCGTTCCCATGCTGTTCACACCCTCAGTATTAAACTCATCCAGTGTGAAGAGCGAGGACTCATTTCTGTTCTCCACTGGGGGTCCTTACGATGCTCCGTGAGGTGTGAGGGGAAGGCCACCGCTTCTCCATTACCCAATAACTGACGTTCGCATACACTCACAAAACACGTAACCAGAGAGGTCTTATTGAAAATAATAACACCCTCGAGCGTGTCCTTCACGGACGCAGTGTGGGGTTAAAGACTCACGGCAGTGCTTTGCATTTAAAGTGTCCTCCACAATCAGAGGCCGACATTGACTTTAGGTTGACATGGATATTCAGAGAGTAAACAAGCATGTTGTAAATAGACTGAAATAATTATTCATGAGTATATGTAGTTTACATGACTAGTAAATTCAAATTTTAAATTGGACCAGTAACACAAAATAATATGAAATCCTCTGATTAAAATTAGTACCATCAATGGTGAGATTCACTCATTCCACCTTTACTCAATTCATTCTCAAATAAACTAGCTGTTAAGAGGGTCTTACTCAATATTTGATTAATAAGCGAAAACCCAGCTGTAATACAATGACAATTTTTTTTTGAATTTCCTTTGATCACTCAAGCATTCATACATATCTGTAATTAAATAAATAAATGTCCTTTACAAAAGAACTCTGGGAAATCTAAGAAACATCTAAGCCTGTTTCTACCTAGTAAAAAAATTAATTAAAATCTAACTGTCGCTATTTTTTCATGGTAACTTATTTCAAAATTGTGACAATGTATCATAATGTCACTTTGGTAACACTTGAAGCCTTTATGCATAATGCATTATAAAGGTATTCATAATGTACACTATAATGCATCACATCTTTTCAGAAATAACTGTAAAAGAGAGTTAAAATGCATTATGAAATTTGCATATTGCTGGCTGTTTCTAATGTGGTTTAATGCATTGCACTTTTTGTTTTTTTTAACTCTGTTGCAGAATTGTGCTTGTGCAAAAATCAGAGTCATTTTAAGAATCAGCTGGTTAAAGCCAGCTGGGCAGCTTAGATGCAAAAAGCACAAGCTGAAATGTTGCTTTTAATAATTCAGATCTTAACAATGTAACTGGTGAGTTCTAGCCACAGATCACCCAGTATGATTTAGGTAACATTTTTACATTTCTCCTCAGGCGCATTCAATAATGAGAAGCATCTGGACAAAATATGCACACACATACAGTACACAGACACAATCTAATGATGAATAGCCTACTTAATCTCTATGTGGAATTGAATGATCTGCTTATTGCTATCACCGAATCAGTGTTTGTACAGATAGAAGTGCTCATTATAATGCCTAAATGAGTCTCTCAATCGATTATAAAAGTACATTACAGTCAATAAAAAGCGAATTGAAAGGCTACAGACAAAAAAAGAGAGAATGAGATATTTTACCGATGAAGTAGGACAGCAGAATGGCCAGCAGGGCAGCGGCAGCGATCGCCGACAGGGCAGCACATTTCCAGCTGCAGTACTTGGACGGCTTTTTCAGCTTGAAGGCGCTTCTGGAGAATGTGTTTCTGGGTAGGAGCCGCGGTGGAGGAGAATATACTGTGCCGGATGTCAAGGGGTAACCTGGTGATGAACTGCTAAAGAGAGGCGTGGTCCCTGAAGAGGTCTTAAACAGGAAATGCCTGCAGAAAAGAGAAAGATAAATAGCGCTTTTAATATTTCAAGCACACATGGAAGGTCACATCCATCCCTGGTATCAAATCTCCTTAGCTGCATCCTCTCTTTCTAAGCTCTAAGGTACACCTGTGTGTGTGTGTGTGTATGTGTGTGTGTTGATCACAGAGTGTCGCAGGCGCTTGTTGGGGGTGAAGGACAGTGTATGCAGCGCCTCAGTGTGGAGCAGTGGACATATGGCACACGAACACCGCAGGCCTGTCCCGGCCCTCCGAGGGACACTTACACAACAAAGTCACTCAATAATTCAAAAGCCTCAGCTCCTTTCAGGTACAACAAACACATGCTATACAGAGACACACTTCACTGAGACTGTACATAGCGGTTTGATTTTCTGGTGTGTGGTCATTTCTGTTGAGCTGATGAAAAAAAAAAATATATAGACAGGAGGATATTGCTGTGTACTTCACAGTGAGATTAATCATTACAGCCTCATAAACGGACTCTTGGCGCAGACAAACAGGAGGTGATTTGTTAATATGCAGCCTCAGCACCGAGACTACCGTGAGACAGAACATACTCGCTGATAATCAGCGTTAAGCTTCCAAAAACATCATAAATGCAGTTCATAGACCACAGAGCCATGTAACAACAGTCTGGCAGGATTCCACAAAATGTTTTTCACAATGGTGCGCAATTCTGAAAGATCTAACAAATCACTTTTACCCCTGACTAGCTTTAAAAGTGTCATTTTTGTACTAAACAGAATTGTTCCAAAACACTCCTGCTTGCCTCCCATTGTTTGAACAAACAGCTAATCCTAACCTAAAATTGAAGTCTATTGTTGCATGAACTCAACATGAGTTCAAAATAAATAAAAGTATAGGATTTATCTGGTGTCATCATGGTTGCCCAAGGCTGCCACAGATGGGTTGTTGTACTTGCTTGTTGTACTTTCATTCACATGTTGTTCATCTTTGAAAAATGCTACAAGTTTGACACAATTTTCAATAAAATAAAATGAAAAAATAAAAAAATAAAAATAAAAAAATGCTGAATTGAGAATGAAAGCTGTAGCAGAAGTCAGTTTTCTCTTTGTGGTACACAGTAGGAAGAAAGTAAGTCAGACATGAGGTTGAGTAAATTATGACAGAATTAATATTTATTGATATTTAACACAGGTAAAAAAAATAAATAAATAAATAAATGACACACTTTACCTTTAAGAAATTACATCACTCAGAAAGTAAGTATCAGAAAGGTCTCTCTGGTGTCACATGGGTATTCTCCAGTCTCTATTCTGAGCTGCTCTCATTAGTGGTGATACTCGCTAACATAGCCTTAATGCTACAATAGATTATTGATGAAACTTGTACAATTTAGCATTGTACTTAAATAATTTAGCAGTTAATTACTGCTCTGAGCCCCATGCTGGTGTTTCCTGCCCTGCAAATGAGGACTTTCGTCTCACATAAAGTGCCAGGAGCACGGATGCAGTTTTAAAAAGAGATGTAGTGTAAAATGGATTAGCTGTGGTCATGTTGCCGTTGTGATTAGCCTGGGGTCCTGGAGTTTGTCGTGTTTTATCAGGTCCGTTCTCTATTAAGACCAAATCAAGAGGCTGAGAGCTTTTCTGCGGTCAGGTATCTGCCTGAGAGGCTTGTCTCTGGATCGGCCCCCACACCCTACCCCCCAGATACATCCGTCTCTCATACCTCTAACCTACGAGGGAAATGGCCACAGGCTGCTCACTCCTGTGATCTTTAATAGCCTCTTTCCACAAGATGCCTTCCAATATCTCTGGACACGTTCCAGCGGCGGATTCCATTTCCAGAGCTGATTTTTGTTCCGTCGTGCTCCAGCCCTTCCATTACCCCCAACTCTTATCGGCCTATCCCCATACATCCCTCTATCATCCCACACACACCCATGGATGGACAGACTGAACCCCCCTGGAATCTGGCCTGATGGGACAACTGGGGTCAGCGCCTAACTAACCCGTCACGATGTACTTTTAAGTTTTAACCTACAGTGCACTCTTACATTCAGTACATATACACAAGAGAACATGACCAGGGATTTGTTATTGACATTGCCATTTGAGATTCAGTATTGACATCTTGTATTATCTGTTTAAAATTTTAAACGTATATTTTAGAGACGATACTACCAGTTTGTTAGTTTATGATTGTGGAGCAAAAACAGACAAATCTGGCAACATTGTGTCTAAAATTTAAGTTCTAAATAAAGAAATAGAAAGAGTTTTATGCTGGTTTGCTTTTCCTAATTCAGTGAGTCACTAGTTTTAATCTTGAATGAACCAATGTTTTAAACAAATACATAGGTCGAATGAATAATTCAGTTACTAACTCATAATTACAGTCAATTTTTGGTTCTTGAATAAGCATTTTTGAATGAATCAGTTAAATAAATGATTCACAGACTACCTCATAATGACCAATTGATGGTGTGATGCCACAGGCGGTACCTCCACCACCTGCTTCATGCCTTTATCTGAACCCGCGTCATCTCCCTTTGCGTCTTCCTGTCAGGTGCGACCGTGCACAAACCGTACAGGGAAGCTAGCAGGCTACAGGTAGGCAGTAATCAGGCTGGCAATGAGCAGCAGAGTGACAGGAAGGCAGCCAAAGTGCATGTCTAAAAATACAGCTTCGCTTCCTGTGGCCCGCCTCCGTGTCATTCCGCAACTGTCTGAAGTCGGGCGACTCACCAGGTCAAGTCAGTCACTTAAATGCCAAATCATTTTTACCCACGCAGAAGGTTGCAGCCACTAATTTGCCAGCTGACAGGGGTGACGGAGGGAAATTAATTAAGGTCATTTTGGAAGTGCGTGCACTCGAGCTGAAGTGTAACTCATAGCTATTGGCAGAATCTCTATTGAAAGCTCATTTCATCTCGGGATGGTAAGAGGAAGCCGAATGCGGATGGAGTGGCTTAATTGTGAAATGAATTTAAAATGCTTGATTTACACGGCGTGCTTAATTGACAGTGATTTATGTCGAGCATTGTTTGGGAGGGAAGCTGGGGGAAGAGTTGAAGCCAACAGAGATGATGGGAGACATGAGAGAGAGAGAAAGAGAGAGAGAGAGAGAGATGAGGCCAGACCAGGGGGTGGACAGGAAATAAAGAAAGGCCAGATTGAGCCCAAAAAAGGAATGCTGATAGGGTGGGGTTATGCAGAGGACAGTCTGGAGACAATGGCAATTTTGCACTTTTCAAAGTCCACAGGGACTGAGAAACCAGGGACATAATGATCTGAGGGAGGAACATGACTTATTTACTGGGAGGCGGGAAGTGGACAGAAAGACAGAACAACTAGTGAAGGAGAGGAGACAAGGAGAGGAAAATAACTGAAAGGAGACAAAACAAGATGAAGCCAGATGAAGAGACAAGAAATGAGACAAGGAAGGAGAGGAGGCAAGATGAGAAGAGGAGCTGAGATCACGAGAGGAGAAGAGCTGAGAGGAGACAAGAAATGATTGAAAATGATGAAAGAAGACAACTTTGGAGATAACATAAGAGGAAATAAGCCAGGAAATAAGGAAATGGAAGGAGACAAGATGGAGACATTGGAGATATGATAAAAGAAAACAAAGACGAAGCAAGGGAACTGGAATAGAGGAGATGAGATGTGGAGAAAAAAGCAAAGGAGAGGAAAGAAGAGGAGAAAAATGAGTTGAGATGAGACAAAGACCAGATGGTATGAGATGAGGGAGCAGAGGAGAAAAGAGGAGAGGAAATGAAGACAGGAGAGGTGTCAAGATGAGAAGTGAGATGACAAGCCAATTGATGGTGTGATGCCACAGGCGGTACCTCCACCACCTGCTTCATGCCTTTATCTGAACCCGCGTCATCTCCCTTTGCGTCTTCCTGTCAGGTGCGACCGTGCACAAACCGTATAGGGAAGCTAGCAGGCTACAGGTAGGCAGTAATCAGGCTGGCAATGAGCAGCAGAGTGACAGGAAGGCAGCCAAAGTGCATGTCTAAAAATACAGCTTCGCTTCCTGTGGCCCGCCTCCGTGTCATTCCGCAACTGTCTGAAGTCGGGCGACTCACCAGGTCAAGTCAGTCACTTAAATGCCAAATCATTTTTACCCACGCAGAAGGTTGCAGCCACTAATTTGCCAGCTGACAGGGGTGACGGAGGGAAATTAATTAAGGTCATTTTGGAAGTGCGTGCACTCGAGCTGAAGTGTAACTCATAGCTATTGGCAGAATCTCTATTGAAAGCTCATTTCATCTCGGGATGGTAAGAGGAAGCCGAATGCGGATGGAGTGGCTTAATTGTGAAATGAATTTAAAATGCTTGATTTACACGGCGTGCTTAATTGACAGTGATTTATGTCGAGCATTGTTTGGGAGGGAAGCTGGGGGAAGAGTTGAAGCCAACAGAGATGATGGGAGACATGAGAGAGAGAGAAAGAGAGAGAGAGAGAGAGATGAGGCCAGACCAGGGGGTGGACAGGAAATAAAGAAAGGCCAGATTGAGCCCAAAAAAGGAATGCTGATAGGGTGGGGTTATGCAGAGGACAGTCTGGAGACAATGGCAATTTTGCACTTTTCAAAGTCCACAGGGACTGAGAAACCAGGGACATAATGATCTGAGGGAGGAACATGACTTATTTACTGGGAGGCGGGAAGTGGACAGAAAGACAGAACAACTAGTGAAGGAGAGGAGACAAGGAGAGGAAAATAACTGAAAGGAGACAAAACAAGATGAAGCCAGATGAAGAGACAAGAAATGAGACAATGAAGGAGAGGAGTCAAGATGAGAAGAGGAGCTGAGATCACGAGAGGAGAAGAGCTGAGAGGAGACAAGAAATGATTGAAAATGATGAAAGAAGACAACTTTGGAGATAACATAAGAGGAAATAAGCCAGGAAATAAGGAAATGGAAGGAGACAAGATGGAGACATTGGAGATATGATAAAAGAAAACAAAGACGAAGCAAGGGAACTGGAATAGAGGAGATGAGATGTGGAGAAAA